ACCCAGCAAGCCGTTCCCCCACCCCGCACCAAGCTTCCCTGTCTTCCCCATCTCTTCCATGGCCACTCTTCTGCCAAAGATCCTTAATGGTGTTCTCACTGTAATAACTACAGATTTTGCGAATATTTTCTTTCTAATCATCCTTTTCTAATACCTCTGAAAACCTATTCATGCCTCTTCTATGACTTCAGGTGTTCCATTGAAATTCATCCCCTTATTTCTACTGAAGAAATTCCTTAATTCAGCATCCTCTCTTCTCAAATCTTTCTCATTAAAGTGAATTTTGGAATGCATAGTTGCTTTCCTTTCTTAACAGTGGAATATAGCTACCTTTCTGCAAACTTCATCAGAAGCCGAAAGTCTTTCCTACTGAGTTATTTTCAAGTCTTTTGTTACCTTCTTAAAAATTTTCATTTTTTTAAAAGCATTTGACATCATTGAGAAAAAAGCATGATTTCAGAATCTATAAACTTGCCCTCTATTTACACTTAAATTTACCCCTTTCCTTGAACTATCTTCCCAGTCTGGTAAATGGAAAGTTGGTATATACACAGAAACTATTTTTTTATATGGAAACATCATCATCTTGTGGATTTGTAGGCTTTTGTTGCCAAAAAGCCACATTGTTGTTTTCCATCTATGAAGGATTCTTCACATTTTCAGTTTCTTAATTAACCTATTTTTCAATGATTCCTTCTTAGTAACTTTTTTTGTAGTCTTGTCTAGTTATGGAAGCTTGATAATTTAAGTTTTACCCATATGTGATATTTTATTTTTAGAGGTTTGCAAAATTTACATCACACTAGACTTCTAATATGCAGAGAAAGTGGAGTTCGTTTGTACTGCCTTCCACTGGGGTGACCTTATGTCTTGGTTTGTTGAAATGGTCTCTTTTTACACAAGTTGCCCTGGATCCTATCTGATTTAGACTTCGTCTTAAATTTTTAAATAATAATGAAATTTTATTATTAATAGTTGTATTAGGGTAATCTAAGATGGGTAAACTGATAGCACTTTAATTTCCTGTCATAGTCTTCTCAAGGTGTGTGAGATGCAAGTGCGTTGAGTAGAATTCTCCTTTTAACACGTGGTCAACTCTGTAAGAAAACCAACGCCACACCGTCTCCCCAAACCTTTAAGGACACAGTGTAACTAGCACCTTCCTTTCAAGGACGCATGCAGGTCAATCGATATTTAAAAAGCTAGGTGCTTGGACAGAGATGGTAGAGATGACTAACTCCTTCCACGTGAGGTGGAGGTGGAGCAAGTGCTGGAAGCTGTAGCTCCTGCCAGCAGCCCTGTGCACGGGTCCCCGGCTGGTGGATGGGGTCCCTGGAGAGCACCTGCAAGTGTGGGGGATAGGCTGCCTCCAGCAATGGAAGAAGAGTTTCCCAAAGAGCTAAAATACCAGTGTTGTATTAATTCATCAAAAGCTTTCAGCAAAAACCCAATTAATTTATTTTCAAATATGGTTTGATTTTTTTTAATCCAATTCATAGAATCAAAGTAAAACTTTTAGATATTCATTCTTTCCAAGATAAAACTTCTGATATTACTTAAAGTGCTGTGGTAATTCAATGAGGTAAATATTAATGGTAAAATTATTTGTTTTGTGGTAATAATACAAATTTTGGTGAAGCACAGTATTGTGGTTTAAAAAAGTGTAGTATTCTTATAGAATTAAGAAATTTGTAAAGCAGAGATGTGTTTGGAATTTAGATGCGCAGGTAGTTTATAATTGCCTCCTAATAAAGTTTCAGTGTTTTACCAGTGAACATAGAAACTCTAGTTTTCAAAATTTATACACACACACACACACACACACGTTAGGGCAAATAAACTAGAATATTTTTCTGCCTTTTCGATATTATGAATAATGCTGTTCTAAACATTTGTGTACAAGTTTTGTGTAGAGACATATGTTTTAATTTCTCTTGAGTATATACCTAGGAGTGGAGGTACTGAGTCCTATGGTGACTCTATGTGTAACCATTTTAGTACCTGCCTGACTGTTTTCCAAAGTGGCTGCACCATGTTACATTCCCACCAGCAGTGTATGAGGGTTCCAATTTCTCCACATCTTTACCTACATTTGTTAGTATCCGATTTTTTGATTCTAGGTATCTTAGTGGGTGTAAAGTAGTATCTCATCGTGGTTTTGATTTACATTTTCCTGAGAATATTTTTGTAACAAAGTTGATGCTGAAAACGAAAAGAACTTCAGGATGACAGAATACATTTTCTCTCTTTGCTTCTCCTCATCAGTCAGAGTCAGCAACATTTCGTCCTTTAAAGAGCTACTTTGTAAATCAGTCTGTTTCCTACAATGGTTGTGAGCATTTTTACAAATGAGTCTTCCACAGTTCAGTTGCATTGCATTCAAGATCACTTGAAAAATTTAAATCAAATCACTCAGCAAATGAAGTACTCCCAAAAATTACCTTTGGAGGCATTTAGTAAATGGCAATAATTGAAAGCTTATAAAAAGGAGGACATTGAAATTTATGCTCACAAAAGCAAGAGAACTGGACAAATTAAAAAATGAGAGCTCAAATGTTATACAAGATTTAATTTTCAATTTTATAATTTCCTTTTGAAATATCTCAACTTGAGAAAAGACTCTTTTGATGGAGCTCCTGTTTTTAATTGGAAAAATTTATATTCTGCGCCAGAAGGAAGAGAATTTGATTTGAGAAGATCTAAAGATTTTGCAGCACTTATATTTGGTGAAAAGAATCATGAATAGATACAATTTATGTTTTGCGTCTTATAAAATTTCTGGCAAAGAAAGATGCACTGAATGGAGGTAAAATAAAAGTGCTTGGGAAAGTATGTGGGCTAAACTGCGTTACACGTATCGTCTCTCTAGCAGCCTTGTTTGGTGTTTACTAGCACCTGTATAGAGAATATTTCCATAGTTAAAAATACTATGATTTACAGAGTTATTAAGGTACCAACAATTTCAAACTTACTAGCCATAGAAAGAAATTTTGAATAAGATTGTAAACAAATTTATGAAAATAATAAAACCATATTGAAATATATATATAAAAAGTATATTCTTCCAAGAAAACACCAGTGATATGGTGTATTTGAGACAGACAGCTAAGGAGCAAATTCACAGCAGTACATGAATTAATCCCAAAAATAATGATTCTGTTAATATCTTTAATGTTCAAATCATCAATATAAACAAGTTTTCTTTTTATTTTGCTTTAATGAAAACAGATATATGCTATCTATATTGTTATACATAATTTTATTTTGAATATAATTTTCCAATTGAATCATTTTATTCACAAATGCATATATTTATAATTTTATTTTTAACGTTTCTTTTAGCTCCCAAAAGTTCCGTGTAAATGATATGGTCATTCAACTTTCAATCAATGTGATCTTCCTTCTAAATTCATACCTATTGGTGAGCAGGGTGAGAGAGTGGATATCTGATTAAATATCTAATCTGGTAAAAACTTAGTCCAATATAACTAAATGGTCCCTTTAAGTGCTACTCATTCTCTCTGAGAAAATCTTTTCAGCATCTCAGATTGACTCCCCTCTCAATGCTTCTCGCTTAAGGTAGTGTCCAGGTAACTTATGTGACTTGGTAGGAAAAGGATGGGCTTCAGGCTCCTCTGGTCTCCAGGGGGATTACTTGGAGATGGCCCTTGCCACCTGGCTGTTGTGTACCCCACAGCATTCCAAATCTCAAGTCTACACAGTGATCTGGTGAAGCTGTGACTGACCCAGCCTGACTGGAGCGCCTCCAGTGGAGGGAAAAGGCTAGAGCAGGTCAGAGATTGACAAGAGTGGCTAGAGCTGCAGTAGGTCAAGGCTTCAATAGATCTTCTAGGCTACTTCTTCTTTCTCTAAATCACGGTTCACTGAAACGCCTGTCTTGAGCTGAGGATATGATATAATATTTGAATGCTGTGTACCTAAACACACACACACACGCACACACATACACACTCACTGAGAGTTCAGCATCCCTATTTGCCCATGTACCTGTTAATGTTAGAGTCCTATAGTATAACCAAAACTTGGTATAAAGCAATTAATATTTTAAATGGACTGAAATAACAGCAAATAAAGAACAAGAAAAAGGAACTAGGGTTAGCCATGGACATTAGGATTGAGGCTTTGATCAAAACAAAAAGAAATAGGGGCTGGCCCAGTGGTGCAGTGGTTAAGTTTGCATGTTCCACTTCCGTGGCCCAGGGTTCACCGGTTTGGATCCTGGGTGCAGACATGGCACCGCTTGGCAAGCCATGCTGTGGCAGACATCCCACATATAAAGGAGAGGAAGATGGGCACAGATGTTAGCTCAGGGCTGATCTTCTGCAGCAAAAAGAGGAAGATTGGTGGCAGATGTTAGCTCAGGGCTGATCTTCCTCAAAAACGAAGAAAAAAAAACAAAACAAAAAGAAACTAGAAAGAATATTACCAATAATAGTAAGTCTATACAGACTGTGAGACAGGTACCATACTACCGAAGAGGAGATGAAACCTTCTCTGCAGAGGCAGATGCTTCTTTGTCAGGGATGGGTTGAGGACAGAAGGCATGGACATAGATTACGTGACTTCTCAAAGATCTTTCTAATGGTGCAATAAATATTCTTAAGGAAAAAAATAGATTCTGGCAACAAGAAGAGAAGGTAAATCTTTTGAGATATGAGGGAAAGGGCATATCAGTATGCCTAAGGACAAACACATTATCTAAAACCTAATGTTATTTAATGTTACTAGTTCATTTCTCATGAAAGCCAATAACAACTATAATTTTTCAGTCCCTAAGATCCCAAGTTTTTTGTGTATTTTTAAAATTTCCCCATTTTTTGATCATTGATAATATTTTTAGCAGTCCTTTATGTTAAATACACAGTTTGCCATTACAGATATTTGTGTGAACTATTTTTACGCGTTCCTTTTTAAACACCTAGCGTTATGTGTGTTTCTGTATTCACATTTATTCACATTGGGCTCTGTTATATTTCCAGTTGATTTCATAGGTGGACTTGATGCACACTCCTACTACCAGGATCATGTTGAGTTAAAGCCTGTTAATCTGTAAGTAAAGGTGTGATGAGATGGAAAATATTAATCCTTCTAACTTGGCCCAAACTAACCAAACCTGAAACAATTTGGACTGACTACTACTAATCATTGGTTTAATTTTCCACTCATATTTAAACCACACCTTTCACATGTAACCCAACATCATCATTAATATTACTCATTCCAGAAAGGATTTGAAGTAGGTCACATGCTTTATGTTTCTAAAATAATATTCTTATTTTGTTTTTCTGATCAATAGTTGACTGCCAAATTGGAAAGAAAAATTTAAAAAGATGATTTAGTCTACAGAAGAGAGGCTAAATATGTGTCTTGGAGCCAGCATAGCAGAGGGAAAAGGGGAGAAAGATTAGAATCCAGGCTCTACCTGCATGGTCTCAGAGGTCTTCCTTGACATCTCTGAGACTTGGTTCTCTCACCCATAGGTGAAAGAGGGAGGATGGGTTCGATGGAATAGGCTTTGTATATACCTTATATATATATATATATATATATATATATACGTAAAGTTGCCTATGCTTGTGCCAGGTACTCAGATATGTGACTAACTGTCCCAAGAGGACACAGAAGGAAGTCAACAGCTACAATAAAAAACACCTCAAACTGGACAGATTTCAATTGAGAGTATGGAAGGAATTATGGTTACCTGATTGATAAAATACTAGAAAATAAATGTAGTGACTCTTTTCCTAGAAAACTGTAAGTAGCAAATAGACAACTGTGTAAAATCATAACTATCATGTGCTAAGCACCTTGCATATATTATCTCGCTTACTCTTCATGAAAATACTGTAACGTACTAATCAATAGTCCATGTTATGAATAAGGAAACTGAAGTTCATGGAGATTAGGCAACTGTCCCAAAGTCCCTCCAGGAGTAAGTGGTGGAGCTGGGGTCTTTCCTGGATGATAAACGGCCCCCGTGATGTTGTGGACTTGCTCAGATGACCTTCCGACTCTTTCAGCCCAATGCTCTGTAATTCCGTAGTGCTGGTGGAAATGATGTAAAACAGTCACTGGTATAAAAAATACATGTGAAAGGCTTCCTCTGCTGCCTCTTTGCCACAGTGGCTCCTGCCCAAATCTACAGCCCCCACCCAGCACTGGCTCCACCACCTCCCCAGGCTGAATTAATTTTATTCTGGAAGAATACTCTAAAGGAAACATAGCTCACAGGCTACACAAATCAGCACTGTGTCTGTCACATGATAGATGTTTAAATATGTGTTGGTTTCTTAAAGCAAATCCAATTTGGAAAAACATTCACCCCATATAGCACTCGGGGACCAAGCGGTCACCGTCTCCTTACTCACGCCAGTGAGAGCTTGTAAATGATGTGCTCTGAAAGTTGATACTTGTGGATTTGGGGAATTTGGCAGGGATTGTGACAATAATAAAGGTGATCAGTGCACTGGAAGTGAGAAAACAACTCAAACAATGCCTAATGGTGACTTGGAGAGTCTTATATATGTTCTGTGATAAGAGGATGATGAATGATTTCTTTCACCTCCACTGTGAAAAAATAACTCAGCAGAGAAATTGCAATATGAAAAATGTTAGTCAGAAGTAAGAAAGATCTATTAGAGGTGATTAAAAACTGCAATTGAGGGGCCGGCCCAGTGGTGTAGTGGTTAAGTTCTTGTGCTCAGCTTTGGTGCCCTGGGGTTCTTGGGCTTGGATCCTGGGTGCAGAGCTACACACTTCTCATAAAGCCATGCTGTGGCAGCATCCCACATATGAAACAGAAGAAGGTTGGCACAGGTGTTACCTCAGCAGCATCTCCCTCAAGCAGAAAAGAGGAAGATAGGCAATAGATGTTAGCTCAGGGCCAGTCTTCCTCACCAAAAAAACCCCACAAAAAACTCTCAATTGATTAATTTTGATAATGGAATCTCCTTTCTTGAATGATACACAGGTATCCATGTACTTCAAAAGGGTGTTCTGTGGCATGGCCCAGAGGCAAATGACTTCCATCTCTGTGAATCGGGAACACACAAAAAGTCCTCGCAAGATTACCTAACAGGCTTTGCTCAACTCCACTACCTCCTCAAAGGGTTTTCTCAATTGCTCAGTGCACTGCTGAGCTCTCAGAGCTTTTTAGCTGAATGTAGCATAAACTACAGGCTGCAGAAAGCAGGAAAACAAGTTCCCGCTTTGACGGATTATGTATATTATGATGTCAGATGAATATAGAAAGCCTTTCAACCATGAAGGGAGCAGAAATCTGAAAGATCAAACTAAACCTGGTTTAAAATCATTGTGCATGAAACCATGTAAAAGGTCAGTATGCGTGCTCCCCACAGGTATGCGAATATTGCAGCAGCGTTTATCCATCCGGTCAACACCAGTCAGCCTGCTCGATTTCTTTTAATCAGGCCTTTATGTTGGGCTCCATTGTACCCAGCCCTGTGAGGCCCTATCACCACCCAGCAACAGGGTGCAGGAAAAGCCAATCTTCTGTACGAAATTGTTAGAGAGGGGAGCGAATGCTGGCTTTTAACTCTCGTTAAGTCTCTAATCTCCATGGAGTACAAAGCCAGGTTTTATGAGGAAGCCACTTTATTAAGGGGATCAGGAGAATCTTTAGCACATTCCCAGGCATACGTATCAACTCTAGATGAGTAGTTACAGACAGTCTATTCACAGGCAACTCTGCAGACCGTACAGGAAACCTTCATTCTTGTGTTTGCGTCCTTGCTCATAATCGTAAAGTGTACCTTTCCAAGGGTCACAGGCAAATTGTGTGTGAATATGTGTATTGGGAGTGATGTGATGGGGGTGAGGCAGTTGACAATTAGATTTGATCTTTCCTGCTCTGTCTCTCTTTGAAGTAATAATATCAAACTACCAAGGCCCACCGATTAAATACGTTGGTTTAGTTCCATTTATAACTGTTTGTTGATTACTTACAATGTGTGTGCTAGGCCCTGTGCTGGGTGCTGGAGATACAAAGATGAGTAATACTTGAGCTTTGACCTCCAGTGGCTAATGACCTAGGAGAGGAGACCTACATAGAAATAAGTAGATACAAGTCAGTTTTTTGCAGAAGGGGGAGCAATTCCTTCTCACTTGGGGAAAGAACACTCCACTGAGAAGTAAGGGCTGAGCTGACTTTGGAAAAACAATGAGGAGTTTATCAAAAGCAGCAGAAGAAAGCCGGTGTTCCTTGCATGGAATCTAATTTGCTTGGCCATTCTGCAGAAGATAAAGTTGAAATTTGTGACTATCCAATCTGGCGTTTGCTGTAGTTCTCACATAAGATGAGCAAACCTATGAGGAAGCAGATGTTTAAGCAGAGCAGGGATCTTGGTGGCTCCTGGGGGGGATGCTCCAAGATCCTCAGCAGCCATTGCTCCACCACTTAAAAGATGTCACTCTTTATGCTTAAAGCTATAGAGATGCTTTCAGTGGTTGTTGTCTGGATCTGGTTTGGGGATATGTGACACACAGGTCAGGGGTAGCCTGGGCTGGGGTCCATTGTCTTGCCACGGCCACCAATGAGGGGGTCGTAACTCTCAACATAAGTACAACCTAGGCCTCCGTGAGGATCTCCTCCATCACTACTACTACACATTGATGCCACCTTTCACAAGGAGAAGAGCGAGGGTTGCCCTTGTCTTTAGAGCACAGAGCCACGTGGTCGGCGGTGGCTTTGAAGAAGAGACCTACACAGCGGCTTGTCTTGGAGGCAGCAGTAACCCCAAGGGGAGAAGTCTAGCTAAATCAGGTTTACCTCTCAGGCAGAAAAGTAGCTTGGCATGAAGCCATGAAAGAGATGCAGAATATCAGGCAACATCATAGGGAGCAACTAAATTACTTTAAAGTTTGTCAAAATCATCAAAATGGTCAGCAACTGGGTAGTGGGAAAATTAAGCTCTATGTGGCAGTACTTCTTTGCATAAAAATAATTAGACCAAGGCAGTTTCTCAAAGAAAGACAGCAGTGGAATTTCAGAGCTGAGTTCCACAATAGAAGCACGGAGATCTTGATGGATATTAAAAATTTCCATGAGGAAGACGCCACATGGCTGCAGTTAAGAACGATTTGATGAAAAAGCCTTCTCCCGTCACTTTTAGCTACTTTTTCCAAGATTTCCCAATGAGAACTTGACTTTTCCCTGCATCTTGACTTGTCTGATTGCCTTTGCTGGAGGCTAATTTTTCTTCACAAAAGTTGTTACGTGCTATATGGCCACTGCTGATTGAGTGTCTGCTATTGCAACTAAGTACCAGAAGACAGATGAGGCTAACTCCCGTCTAGGGCTGGCAGGGCTGTCAGCTCCCACCATGCCTCCACTGCCCGTCCTCTGCCTCTAACAGGCCAGACTCACAGGAAATCTACCTCTGATGATCAGACAATCTGCTGGATAGCTTCAGAGGTGGTCGCGTCCATCTGTTCTTTCCTAAGAACTGCTGTTTTGTATCAGTATCCCTATAAGTTAATGCCAGGCCATTTTGCATGTACAGTATCTAGATTAAAAATCAGCTAGGACAAATCAGGTGGGTGTATATGTGTGTCAGAGGTGGGGAAGTGAGAATGATGTGCTTTCAAATCCTGATTTAATAACCACTGGTGATGTATTAGTAAACTGCAGCTGGAGGGACCTGGAGTCTACAACCTCCATTTATCCCATCATTCCTATCATTTTATTAGTCTTTAAGTGCTTGGTGAAAAAATGGAGCTCTCTGTCTTTATCCTGTTTTCATTTGTCCTTGATTGCCTTTCACACTTTCATATTTGTCTCTCTCTGCTGTCTGTCACCTGTGGCATGCAGAGTAAAGTGTCTGTGATCTGCTCACAGAGATAGCTGGCTGACTTTCCCCACTACTAAGCGTGGAGTTCTGTTGCCTGAGGGCTTCCATCAGTCCCTGGAAATGGTGGGCACTTACAGAGGCGTTAACCCTCCCGGGCTATCTCAAGAGTCCAGAGTGCCACAACCGTGATGCTCTCAACACCCTCTTAGTTGTCCCAAAGGAAAGATGGCCTTCCCTGCATACCTGCCTTACTTAGCACAAAGGTGGCAGCACTTAGAGCTCATTGTTCTTCCTAGCTTTGGCACACTTTCCCTTTGTCACTGGCACTAATAATTTTTTGATCCATCATAGGAAGTAGTTATACCATTTTAGGGATTATGCAAAAACACATCCTAATATACAGCCTTTTGACTAAGTAGCAATGAAATGGCTGTGTTTAGATGGCTCATGCAGTTCAGACTCGTCACTATACTGGTCAGTTCATGCACTACTGTCCTTGCTAGGAAAGAATGATGCCACCAACAATGCAGCCAGCCACACACAAGGGGGTCTGCTGTGACCTTTGGTCAGTCATCTGCCCTGTGCCTCACTGGGGACATGGAGACCTTCTCATTTGACATGTGACCTCACACACTGCCCCCAGAACTTTGTGGATCCTGGTTCTCCTGTTTCCTCATGAAGCACATGAAGCTTTTTCCAAAATGAGAAAGCCTGTATCTGAATGGCACTCTCCAGGGGCGCTGTCAATTCCTGTCCTTCCCAGAACTCTCAGGATTCTTCTCAGTACTTGTCATAGAAGTCAATGGCAAGAAAATAGATTTATGTAGTGGTGTGGAGATATGCAGCAAAATTAACCTGCCCAAAATTGATCAATGTTAAGTAAAAAAACTTCATTTTGCCCTGTTTTCAAGAGAAAGTATCCTCTGATTTTAAAATAAAGGCAATGAACATAAACCAAATTTTATGTTAAACATATATTTTTTCATTTTGCATTTACATAAAAAAATATTTATAATCCCCATAGTGTGACAGATTCTGGGGAAAAACAAGACACAAGAAAGAATATGCCAAACACAGAGAAAAGTACAAACACACACATACACAGAAGTGATACAGAGAGACTTAAAAGCAATAGAAAAAGAGACAATGATAAGCCTATCAGGAGACACACTTTGAAATAACATCACCATCTTATCATCTGATTTCATTCTGCCTTGAGGGTGCGTACCCTCAGATAACTGCTAACATATCTACAATATCTGCCAAAAAAAGAAAAAAAGAAGGAAAAAGAAATGATCTTAAGGATCTCAAAACTCAAACTCTCCTACCCAGACTCATGGATCCAGCATAACATCATTAAGAGTGACAGCTAGACATTACGCGTCTCCAGACGCGAAGCAATAAGAAGACACAGCACCGCCTATGACGTATCTTGCCACGAAGTCAAGCCTGATCTTGAACTGCAAGTGTAGAAAATACATGAATAATAGAATAAGTTTAATCTCACCACAAGGCAGCAATCAGCTAAATCCCAGAATGTGGGATATAGTGTAGGGAAAATGAGAAAAAGGACGGGAGGGGAGATTTAAGAGACATACTAGTCAAATATGATGTGTGGACCTTGTTTGGGTTCTTGTTGACAAGCCGACTGTAATGAGATGTTTTAGGTAACTGGGGAAGTGTGAATATGGACTGGATAGTAAATGATATTAAGAAATTGTTTCCTATTTTAATAGGTATGCTAATGAATAGGTAAAAAAAGAAAAATGCATATCAGTTAAGCAGAGTTTCTCAACCTCAGCACTGTTAACACTGGACTAGATAATTCTTTGTAGTCGGGGCTACCCTGTACATTTTGGGATATTTAGCAGTGCCCTTGGCCTCCACCTACTAGATGCCAGTAGCACACACACCACCCCCGTCAAATTGTAACAACCAATCGATAAATGTCCCGGGGTTAAGAATCACTGAGTTAGAGAATCATAGAGATGTGTTGATAAATGACATGACATGGTGCCTAGGATTTACTTTTAAATACTCTAGCCAAAAAAAGTTGTGGTGGGTAAATGAAACTTGATAACATAATTTTTACTTTAGTTGAAGCTGGATTGTGAGTATGTAGGAATTCATAATACCATTTTCTCTACTTCTGTGCATATTTGATTATTAAAAACCAATCTGTCAATAAAACCTAAGGCAGGGATGCCAATAGGCTGTCCTTTCAATGCCTCCTCTCGCAGTGGCTTCACTGTCTTCTTGGAAAACTCTGTGCAGACATGTTTCCCAATGCCTGAAGTAGCTCTCCAGAATTCCTACTGGCGTCATAGGAACAGGCTTAGCCTCCTTCACTGCTTTACCAATCCTTGTTGCTAAAGCCCCAAAGCAGAAAATAGTAGCTATAAGCAGAGCTGACATTAAAGATAAATGTAGTGAATACCTAAAAGTTCCCCCAAACCCCGGCCAATACTATCACTAACAAAGAAAGAAAACACCTTCCTCTCCTACTGTATCCCCATTCTAGAAGAGAGTCACCTATTGGATGGACGAATGAACTTCAGAACCTTCTATCTCCCTTCTAACTAAAAGGGTGTATCAAACTATGAAAATTCCACCATTATAATCTCATCCCTTTATTTTCCATTTAAATCCTTGTTAAACAAGAGTGAGGTAAAAGGGGCACACATTTGGGCTATGTCTTCCAGAATGTGTAGAAATGGAAGAGTGGAGGAAATGTGATCGGAAGATAGGGAGTGAACTGGAGGACTCCAGCTCCTGAGGCGCGCAGGAGGGAACAGAATTTACAGGAGAAGGGCGGGTACCAGAAGGTGAAACTGGAAAGCTGGAGGATTTTCCAGCTATTTCAAATTATGACTAAAAAGTCCATTCCAAGCCATAGAATTACTGAACTGAGTTAATGGGAGAGGGTTGCTGGATGGAGATATAAAATAAGTGTAAAACACAGTCTCTACTGGTATGTTGCTTATAATTTAGTTGAAGGGAGAAAACTTACATACTTGAGGAAACAATCAGAGCACAGCTTATTGTGAGGCTGAGTGCCATTAGCCCCACATGGGGTTCAGCTGATAGTATATGAGTTGCTATTAGCAGGATGAGAAAGCAATATGACTAAGGTAGAATTAGAAGGCTTCATGGACTAGAATAAATTTCAACTGAACCTCAAACATGAGTAAGATTTGGATCAGCTGAGACTTTTCAAATGAGAGAAACTGTGAGAGCAAAAGTATTCAACAAATATTTCTTAAGTGACAACTACGTAGCAGACGCTGTGTTGAGATTGATATTGTGCAAAGGAAGATGCAGAAGCCAGAACCCTCACCTTCCAAAGGTTTACTGCCTAGTATAGGATCAGGAATATACAGGGTCTTTGTCAAATGTGTAGAGACAGGAGTGCTTGGAGATGGGAGTGTATATTCCAGGAAAACAGAACCAATAGATGTGTGTGTATATGTACATGTATATATATATATATATATATATATATATATATATATACAAACATCTATTCATATATCTACACAGACACAGACACACACAAACACACACACACATACATACACACACATATATATATACGAGAGATTTGAAGATATTGGCTCCTGTGATTATTGGGGCTGGCAAGTCTGAAATCTGCGGGGAAAGCTGGCAGGCTGAAGACTCAGGGAAGAGTTGTTGTTGCACTCTTGAGTTCGAAACCATCCTGGAGGCAGAATTCCTTCTTCCTCTCAGGAGACCTCGGTCTTTGCTCTTAAGGCCTTCAACTGATTGAATATGACCCACCCACATTATGGAGAGAATCTGCTTTACTCAGGGTCTATTGATTTAAATTTTAGTCTCACATAAAAAATACCTTCACAGAAACATTTATACTGGCAGTTGACCAAATACCTGGGAACTATGGTCTAGCCAAGTTGACACATGAAATTAACCCTCACAGGTTGGGATTTGTGTAAGGGACATTATTTGATGGTTAGGTGGTATGAAAGCCAGACCAGGATGATTCTTGAGCAGTCAACCAACAGAATGCTATAGGAAAATTGGGCTAGGAATGTATCTAGTAATTTGCAGGCACAATATTACCCTGTCATCTTTACCCCAAGACAACCAAAGGCAATGCCTCTAAATCTTTCATCAATTGCTATGTGGTTGGCACTTCTCTCCCAGGAAACTGGTCCTATCCTCTGATGTTTATACCTGATTGGCATGCCCTAATCTGAAAGTCAGGAAGCCCAAATTGTTGGCTTTCTTATTGCTACAATCATGTACACAGACAGTACAAGGCACACCCAAAACCTATTTTGCATTTTGAAAAACTTGGATGATTAGAAAGAAAATTTCGTTTTCAATTTTGAAGTTCTTTAAACAATTTATATTTTCTGTTTTAGGTCGAAATAAGTAAGGGCATTGACTCTGCAATGCGGCTGCTGAACTTGACTTAGGAAGCAAAGCACCACTGACAGTACCTGTCTGCATCCACACGTCTCAACTTTCTCCCGAAGGAGGGACTGCGCCTGCCGGCTTTCCCACGAATCACGGGGTTCCTCGGCCACAGCCTGTGTTTCATTAGCATTGTTCTCTAGATGAGCTGTAGGTGCCTGGGTGGGTATTTTTTAGTCATTTTCTTCTTATATGAATACTTGTAAATTGTAAAAAAAAAAAATCGTTTTTAATTTTTTAGCAATATTTAATGTGAGGCATGCAAAATGAAAAAATTCTGTGAAAACCTGCTACAGTCAATTCTAAGAGAAATACTGGTGTGTATAGTTGAGGTTTCAAGCGAGTTTTGCTGACCGCTGCAATTATCTTGGGCCTGATGGAGTCTGCAGTAGTAGACGTTACATGGAGTTACAAGACATGAAGTCAGATGCTGTGACAGCTGATAAATGGGTGCAAATAGTGGCTCTGGCTCTCAGACTGAGTATGGATCATTCTTTCAACGCCACAAGTCAGAACATGGCATCCTCCCTTGTTCTCGACTTACCAAAACCCAGAATAATATTATGGCAATCTAAATTTTCGGAATCATGCGTTATATCTTCTTCTTCCTGTGTTCTGAAAAACATATACCATGGGCAAACGGAAGAGTGAAATGATCAGTAGAACACCTTTCCCCTTTGAAGGGAATTTGGGTATTTCTGAGGTTCCTATTTTCTACTCTTTATCTTAGTCCTGTCATTGGTGTCAGACCTAAACATAGAGCTTGAGGGTTGTGGGACAGAAATCACACTCATGAATCTGCAATCAGAGATGCTGCTCTTAGGATATTCAAAAGGAGCATTAACATGGTGTAGAATTCTCCATAATTACTCCTGAAAAAGACATTTACATTTGTTCCACATCAACTTTTCTTTCTCCAAACCCCATCCCAATAACCAAGAAAATAATATGGGAAACATAATTTTCTACGGAAAAAGGGACTGTTGAAAACACATCACAGTTTTTTCCATTCACATCTTTCAATGATTATTTCCCATATCAAAATAAGTTTTGCTCACTTTGTGCAACAACCAAGGTGAGGCCTCCTGCAGGCCACAAAATTGTGTACATGCATACTCTTTAATCCAGAAGTTGTTAACTTGGCTCATACATCCCTAAGAAGTCAGCCTATGAACCATCTAAAATTGTATGTACATTTTTGTGTGCATGTAGAGGCATTTTCTTCTTCTTGTTTGGAGTCCGTATGTTTCATGAGAGTCTGTTAAGAGTCAGAACTTAGGCAACAAGGCTGGCTGGTTCCTCCCAGTTCATGACAACCACTGTGGCCTTTCTGGAAGCCTATTTGCCCCTTCACTCAGCTGACACCCATCGCTTTTTATTCTACTGAATAAATTCAAAATGAAGAGAAATTAGCAGGGAACTTGGAGATGGTCAAATCCCAGTTGGCATTGCACAGCTGAGGAAGCTGAAGCCCAGGGAATTTGGCGGACATGCCCAGATCCCGCATGTATACAGCAGGGCGAGAGCTGTGGCCGAAGGAGGGAGAACTTGGAGGGCAAAAGGTGGGTTTGGGTCCCAGGTCCACCACTGTGACCTTGGACAGTGTTGGACATCTGAGCTCTGGAGTTTTTCTCATCTGAAAAGTGGAACTATAATCCCTACCTCCCAAGGGTGAAATGAGGATTAGATGAAAATGTAAAAAATACTCTGTAAGCTGCGAAGCGCTCCACAATTGAAGGGGCAGTCATTATTGTAATGTTGAAACAATAAGTTGGGTCTTATCTGGAGCTCTTGCCACACACCCCAGCGCTGTGAAAAGTCCATGGAAACACCAAACTCTTGAAGTTTTCTAAAAAGTGGCTTGAAAAAATTGCCCATGTTTAAGTGATTAGAAATAATGCAGACTAAAAATCACACTTCTTAATTAAAAAATAACTTTTATATTCAAATTTCAAGACAAGTACATTTTATTGTTATGGAGAAAGCTAACAGAACATCAAAAATGTAGAAATCAGGGGCTGGCCCCGTGGCCGAGTGGTTAACTTCACGCGCTCTGCTCCAGGCAGCCCAGTGTTTCGTTGTTTTGAATCCTGGGCGCGGACATGGCACTGCTCGTCAGACCACGCTGAGGCGGCGTCCCACATGCCACATCTGGAAGGACCCACAACGAAGAATATACAACTGTGTACCGGGGAGGCTTTGGGGAGAAAAAGGAAAAAAATAAAATCTTTAAAAAAAAAAAGTAGAAATCAGTAACACAGAAGGATAAAATTAATATTTAAATATTTTAAACTGCCATTATCCCCTACACACGCACAAACAAAACACAATTAATATTTCAAAAAATTGTACCATGCAGCATTTTGTTGCTGTTTTATTTTCATGTGAATTTTTTACATACCTCTAAGATGCCCTGCAGAGTCTAGATATTGTCTAACTGCAGACTATGGATTTGAGGAAGAAATTCTTATATTAGTGATTTTTCTATGGATATTCAGTATAGGCAACTACTTAATACGGTATGTGTGTTAGTTTTTAATCTTTCTTCCTTTAAATAATTGTTATAACTATTTCAATCCCCAATCCCAGCAATCTGTAATGATAATTCTAAAGTTCCAGAAGATTTGCCAGTCGTCAGACCCAGGTTACATAGACCTCCCACAACCTCTCCTTCCCACTTTTCTTCTCCCTTCCTCTCCTCTTCCTGGCTACTCTTTGGAGGTTCTGCTTCCTTAGGACAAAGAGATGAAAAGAAGTGTAGACTCGTGCAGTAGCTCTCAGCAGTGACCCTTTTCATCCGGGTGATTCCGAGGCTGTGCTGCCACAGTGCTGCTCCTCAGGAGTGAGTGTTTCCAGTTCTCGCAGCTTTTGCCTCCGTTTTAGGGAATCCTCTCTGCACTGCGCACCATACAGTAGGGTTTCAACAAAGATGTGTTTCTTCTATTTATAAGCTTTCCAAATCTTGGCGTCCCCATAAGCAAGTGTGTGTCTGGTTGGAGTCAAGAAAATCAGATGCATCTGAGCCTGTGCTCAGTTGGCAGACTCTCACTATCCTAAGAGATGGTGCAGCTCCCCATTCCAAGATCTCCTTGGAAGCAGTCCTGGTAAAGCTGAAGATAGGACATCCACCGCCCATTAGCCCCTAGTGCTGGTTGGAATGTAGAAGGGGAAAGTTACAACCTACTTTGTTTTCCTGTTTGAACCTTGGCATTGTGGCTTATAAACCTTGGCCAGTGCTGCCCCAGGCCCTTGTGCCAGTGACTGATCCTTTCCAAGTGTCTTCTGCTGACATTGTGCGGAGCCCCAGGCAGCTGGGATGCTGTCCAGTTTACCTTCTACCTACTTCAGCTTCCAGTGCAGCAAAAGTTAAGCAGGGGAGGTACAAGGAGGGTTAGATAATTCTCAGGGGACAGAATACTTGTTGGGGTGTGGAGCGGTCTACATCAGAGAAATCCCAGACATCGTTTAGGAAAAGCTCTAAGCTAGTATGGCCCAGGTATCCTAGCCTTCCACCTGCCATATAATGTGATGGCATGTGTCCCTGAAACGAAAACGTGTGTCCATACCACTCCAAATCTGAGGGGCTGTGGGTTCACTTGTTTTGAAGTTTACCTGACATCTTACCCTAGCAAAATATTGCCTTCGTTCTTTTTTCCTTCAGACAAATAAGCTCTGTTATTTCCTATAGACCTAAGTAAGGGAAATAGCCAGCTTCAAAAGGCTGGATCTAACAGAATATAGCAAGGCTGCCATCTGTCGCACTTAATGAACAGGACACTCGTGATTGAGGGGCATTTGTCTTCATTAGAACCAGTAACATGTACATTACAAAGGTAAGGAAAACCATCATGACCCCACTAACTTGAGAAGCAAATTAGAAAGGAATCTTGCCAAGAATAAACAGATCTTCATTTTAGACCTAATTTAAAAATTTATAGTATCCCAAAATGTGGACTCACTATGAAGTGAATATTCTGGCTAATTATTTCTTGAAGCAAATGCTCGCTTATCATTTCTGAGTTACTTTAGTATCTAACTAGGAGAACTTTTACAGATGATTAGAATTCAAATGTTCTAACTTGACATTTCAGCCCGAGGTAGAATCTACTTTTAATGGGTAACTCAATTAAGTCAGGAAAAATATAAATATTTGATCTTTTGAAAGATAGAAAATTTGAATGTCTGTTTTTCTTGTTTCTTTCCCATTTGAGAGTAATCTACAACATTTGCTGGATAGAAGGTCTGTGGAAGTGTCTATGCACCCTGTTCAAATATTCATGATAAATAAGCCCACAACTTAAGGATGTTATATCCAAACGTAGAACCGACAAAGGAAATGACTGCTCATGTAACTGCACAGTGTGCAATGCAAAAACAGAGCAGGTGCATTTTAAATATTAGAGTGTATTTATTAATACATAATTCTCCAAAAAGTAGGATTCTCAAATAATTCATAATTTGCGAGTTGATTGTCTCTTTTTTTCCTGAAAAAGTTTAGTTTGTTAAGGGCTAAGAAAAAATGTCGTCTCTAGAAGGTGGGTAAATCTCCCTAAATATTGATACTTGTAGAAAAATTTGGTGTCAGGTGAAAAATGAATCATCTTCCTTGGATTTGCAAGCATATAAAGGGCAAGAATCATGTTGAGTGCTGAGCATTAAAAAAAGTGAAATATCTAAAGAATCCAAAATATGCCTTGGCTTGAATTTGAGAGCTAAATTAAGTAAAAAGAAGAAAAAGAAATAAAGTAGGATGGAAAGAAGAGAGGGAGGCAGAGAGGGAGAAAAGAAAAAGAAGGAAAGGGAGGAAGGAGGAGGAAGAAAGGAAGAATCCAATATTGAAAGTCTGCCTAATTTGTATTCAGACAATGTCAATCCTTAACTCATATTTGTTGTTATGGTTTCTTTGTGTGACGTTGAATCATTTTCCATTTAGGGCATGCTTTTCCTTTCCTCTTCAGAGTTAGGTTTTTTAAAACAGTTTGAAGAAACTAATGATCTATCTAGTTATTCTTATGGAACTTGCTTTGGTGGACAACCTTGTTAGTCTATATTAGTCAGGATTAGGTTTACCTACAAGTAACAAAAAAAGAAAAATGACAGCGGCTTAAATAAGATAAAGGTCTATATCTGTTCATATTTCAAAATTCTGGAGAGTCAGCAAAGAGCTAGGCTTAGGGTCCCTAAAGATAGGGACCCAGGCTCCTTCTCTCTTATTGCTTCATCATGTGTCCTGCCATTCTCAAGATCATGACATGACTCAAGATGGCTGCCACAGTTCCAGCCATTCCTTTTGTATTCCAGCCCAAAAGGAGAAAAAAGGAACAAAGAAGGGTGCTTATTTCATTTAAGGACTTGTCTCAGAGATTGCACACACTACTTCTAGCCTAAATCCCATTAGCCAAAACTCGATCCACCCCAAATTTAGCTGCAAGGAAAGCTGGGAATTATAGTCTTTATTCTTGGTGGCCTTGTGCCCATCTAAAACTTAGTGGCTTCACTTCTTAGTATAATGGGTAAATGTATGTTGAAGAATTCTTAGCAGTCTCTGCCACACAGTTCAAATAGTTGGCGTGATTTTTTAGAATAACGTTTTCATTTACTTTAATTATAATACGTTACTGAAAAAATACATATACTCTTCAATATTGTGAGGAATTAATTATTGACTCTGTGAAATGAGAATTTCTACCTCATTTTTCTGCCTTTCTTCTTAGACAGAAACAGATAAATCTGTGATGTAAGATCCTTCTATATTTCCCTGAAGTCTGCAGAGTGTATTTTAGCTTTCCTTCTCTGGAAACTGAATTTAAAATTCAAGAGCCAATCTAATGTGTTATTGTCCTCACTGTTCTGCTACAAAAATAAATTCACCCTTCTATGGTCACAACTCTTTAACTATTTTATTTTGGCAGCACCTTCCTTTCTGAATTGACTAGTAATGTCATTATTTTCTTTTTATTGAATTCAACAAGCTGGAAATGGACATGGGTGCTTAGGAAGGTGGGGCCGGACATATAAGTGAAAAGTATATGATCCTTCCTCTTCTGCTATTTTCTCTCAGTAAAAGTTGTGCATCTGTTTTTCTCCAAGAATAGAACAGCTAGAGTGGAGTGAGTATTTTAAACTACCTGATAGTCTATTTCTCTAAGAAAAAATACAATTGAGGGAAATCATAAAATTTTTTATGTAATTAGATTTTATTGTATATTCCTCCTAGGCTGGGAGTGTGTCTGCATGTGTGCATGTGTGTATGTGTGTGTGTGTGAGAGAGAGAGAGAGATTTCAATCACTGAAAAATGTTGGTTATCTTCTCCTAACCCCTTGTGCCTACAAATCTGGAAGCTGTCACTGATGACTGAGATAAGATCAGTTGACTTATTCTTGTTGAACACACATATCTACACACAAACTTCAACACTTGAGTACACCCCTTTCTAAACAATCACATTGTTAAAATGTGCCATATGACCCATTTCCCTAAACGATTAATAGTATAAGATTATTTAGAAAATGAAAGTTAGAAGAAATACGATGCCTAGAATAACGTGTTATTTCTCTGCAAGATCAAATTGTAGAGTTGGAAAGAACCTCTGTGATTCATTTGCTTAGTTTATAGATGAGGAGACTGAGGCTAGAGGCTGTAGTGACTTGTCCCATGTCCCACGGGGTCTGCTCTGCAAGCCTCCAGTCCAGCCTTCTTTCTTCTGCATTTGGTGGCCATCAGCTGTCACAAGTCCCAGCTGAACCAGGCCTTGGCTGTTGACTGCAGTCTGAAGCCCTTTCTGCCTGGACTCCAGGCCCCAGTCATCAAGGCTCAGGACAGCTGAGGAAGACATCTGCTGTTGGCTCCTTCCAGTTCACCATCCCCCTGCTTGGCTCTGAGTATCAGAAAGTCCCTTTCCAGTGGGCTTTTATCTTGCCCATTTGTCTTCTCAGGGCAAATGATAAATCGCAGACCTCAGATCACTGTTCTTTGCTTTCCAAAAGCCAGACCAGCTCACTCCTGGCTGCCTTCTTTCTTTATTTGTGGTTTAAACATAATTCCACCTGCCCTCGTCAAGGCCTTGCACGACCTCTCTCAATCA